ACAGGGCTCGAGATTTACCCCTCCAGTATCTTTCTTCTTCCTGGTGGGCTTGATCAAGATCTCTCTTAAGTTCTCCCCACTCCTCCCAATCCCTACCATTTCCTTCACTCCTCATGTCAGCCAGCTTCTCTGTGAGAAATTTAATGACCCTCTCATTCTGGTGTGTTGGATCTTTTGATGCACCTGGAGCATAGCTGACCCTTCCACTATAACCTGCCGCCCTTCCCTCACAACATCATGAATACCCTCCATAGACACCCAACTACTATTGAATTGAAACCTCTTATGTCTTGTACTCAACTCTTTGTCAGTGCCAAAGAGTAACACATTGTGATCAGAAGTTGTTCTATAGTAGTTGGAGGCCTCCATCCTGGGAAAGATGGATAACCACTCAAAGGATATATAAATTCTGTCCAGTCTCTCTTCAACATACCCATCACCAGCTCTATTATTTCCCCAAGTGAAGAAAGAACCCATCTGAGCTACTTCTTGCCTTTATTGATGATAAATTCTTGGAACCCCACAAAGCTGCTTGGACTTCTAGCCACACCCCCTCTCTTTTCCTCTCTCTTTTCCTCGTTGCACACAATGTTATTCCAATCCCCAACCGTTACCCACCCTTTACCCCAATGACTTTGCCTATTTTTATCTTTTCCAAAGCTAGTCTTGCCTTACAAAACTAATATTATCGATTCTCATTTATTTCATTTATTAAATACCTTTTTTTTCATATTTTAAATTTTAAAAAAAAAATATCTAATAATTGTAAAATTAATCATCTTTTGATCTGAAATTTAACATCTATATAACATATAATCATGTTCATAAGGAATAAAAAAATAAAAATCAAATTTGCAAAGTTGTAATAATGTGTTAGACATATCATTTTATAAATATGTAATTAAATAATTTTCTTTTTAGACAATTTAAGGATAAAAAGATGTATCAGAATAAATAGTTATCACCATATTAATCCCCCCTATATTTTCAGAACGCGCTGAGCCTACGTGCCTGCTTCTGGTGCTTCAGAATCCTATGTGGCAAAATTAAATGTTTTGTTATTAGGCTTGGGTAAATTTTAATTTAATTCCAAACCAAAAATAATTAGGTTCGGATTACCATAAATATATTGATTATTTATGGTCATGTTACATGTATTAATTGCATTAATACCATTCCTTATTATAACTATTGAATTGTATATATATTTTTTAAAGTTAATAACTTTTGTATTTTTTATCAGTTTTACATATGTAATATATCAAATTAATCTTCTTTTGATGAGCTTCGATTTAACATCCATATTGTATGCATAAAAAAATAATTTATATTTATCTTTATAACAATAATAAAATTATTTTTAATTTTAATTAGAAAAATAAAATTATTTATTTACTAATATATTTATTTCAAGTTGTTATATGATATAAGTTATAATAACTAATATAATATAACACATGTAAGTCATAAATAACACATATCATTTTAAAATATATAGTAATATATTCTTTTTCAAAAAAAAAGTAAACTAAATTTATTATAGTTTTCTCATTAATTTTAAAATTTAAGAATATTTTTTTAACAAGCACCCGTGTAAGACACATATGTTGTACTAGTTATTCATTATTTGTTTTACATTTATCTATTCATTTTTTATTATACATTTTTTTTTTCAAATGCGCATGTACTATTATGTACTCCAAAACACAATTAAGATACATACCGAATGATAGCAAGTACAAATACAGTGTATAACTTGAGCCATAACATTAGCGAACTTTTCACATGTTAAGTGCCAGCAGGAAGTGAAGAAGCAGATACAAAAATAGACAAACAAAAACAAAAACAAAAATAAACCAAACCCACCATTTTGGTTTCGGCTTGCTTCTTTGGGGCATCACCATTCATCATATTCGTACACTACTTATATCTCCGGCGGGTCACATGCTTTCTTGTCTGTAACCAGAAACATATACACAAAATAAGGATTTTTTTTCCCCGCTTTCATTGTAACTTGCTGATCACAGATGAACGGGCAAAATCACGTAGAAAAGGGAAAAGAAAAAGGAAAATAGCTGGCACAAAAATAAGCAATCAGAGGCTGGCCCCTATGCCCCTTCTGTCCTTAGGTCCTCGAGAGAGTTCAAGAGATGCAGCTGGTCGGGGCAAACCCCTCTGTTAGAGGTCGATTTATAAAGACCTCATTGTGTTCCTTTAAACCATCAACTAGCACTATTTACTTCACATGCTCACAGTATTATTACGTCATGCCCTCGTAGGATGCAAAAAAATGCAGACCCATTTGCCTCTTCACGTGGTCCGGTATCAGCTTGTTCACGAGATCTGGAGATGCACCCGACAACTACAACCACGAAGGTAGTATAAATCAGAGGGGAGCGTTTACGGAAATCAAAATTAGGCAAAACTCATCCGTGCATCCTTCTGTATTCAGAGAACTGTTTTGAAATAACCAGCTCTATATCTCAGATTCACTTAAAAGGTTTTTTTGCAGGATGTTTCAAATTGATTTGTTCCTTTCAATATGCAAAATAAGAAAACGTAAATAAAAAATGCATCTACCTCCTGTTTGAAGTCAAACAGAGGCGGCAATGAGCGACCATTAGGCAATCTAACATTAGGATCTCGCAGCTCATCAAAGAAAGGATGAACACAGGCTTCGAGCTGCAGTCAGAAGCATCTTGTCAAAGTTTAGATAAACGATTATATTTTTGTAAACTAAATCACAGGATAACCTTATATTAGCATAACATCAAGCATCGGGTACTATATCTTTAATTATATTATTAATTATCTTAAGAATAATTAATAACATTGGAGAGGGAT